AATTGCTCTATACGGAGGCAATCCCAATACCCATAACCTTGATGAGCTGAGGTACTAACTATTCGCCAGAGCTGCGACGAAAGTAAGCTTCAATCTAGCAAGGTTACCTCTTACACGATACTCTGCTCGATTTCACTCCTTACGGACATACTATCAGGTAAATATTTGTCTTTACATCAGTTACATATCATTCATCATTTTTTATTCTCATGTACAATCTTTTTACAGGTACAGGCGTGGTTGGGAGTTAAACTGAACCCCTTTTCCTGGGGGTGGATATCCACGCCACAAGGTCTCAGCCACAAAATGATGACCAGAGATGCAGCCCCACCTCTTGCAGATGATTTCTTGCAGCTGTTTAAACGGTTGTGGAAACGCGTGCAGCTGCAGAAAGGCAGGATTAAAATGCTCATCAGTCTACAGGTACTGCATCGAGGCCTCTTGTGACAATATATCTTATGTTGCAGTAGTAGATATCCCAGAAGACGACGATCTGTCCTATGTCGAAATGGAGGATGACTTGTGGGCACAAGACGTCGACGATTCATCACCATCCCCTGAGGGTTATATGCCATCCCAATATGTCGATCCAGACACGGTCGAATCTCAACCGAAACCTTCTAAGAGGGCTAAATTAATTTAATTTTTTGATTTATTATTCGATTGATTTACTCTATTGATTCACTACTGATTTGATTTCTTACTTGATTTGATTTATTTTTAATATTAGTCAATTTCCTACAAATAAACTCATTAACTTTTGTTGTACATATCTTTTTTACTTCATTATTCGTAGCCTAACAAATGATAGACGAAATCAAAGATGAAATAGTTTTATTTAAAAACTGACTTTCATTTTCAAAACATGTGTTCCATTACATAAATAAAAATTTATCATAATCAGGGTCAAAATTAAATTAATCAAAAAGACAGAATTGCAAAACATTGCGTAGTTCGAAAAAAATTATAAGCTTTGAAAGGCCTAATGTTGGAAACTATTGGGTCTACAGAGACAGTTCGAGTATCATGTTGTAGCAAATTTCATCTACTTCAAAAACCTACAAAGCAAATTTTTTCAAAAGCTAGTCCTTCAGGATTTCAATTGCCAAAATTGGAAAAAACTCGATTTTTTCGTGTTTTTTTGGATTTTTGATAAAGTTGCGTTCGGCGCTCGAGGTCACAAACTTGGATTATTCATTAGGCCAATATCATAAACAAGTCTGCAAAAAATCAGAATTACCGGATGCTGTGATGTATAAAGTTACTGATGGACTATAAACGGTAACTGAAATTATCATTTTCCTCTGCGTCTCATATGACTGTATCGGCAGGAGCCTGAGCAGTATTTGTTCTTAGTTGAGGTGTTGGAATTATTGTTGTTACTAGTGTTGCAAGATCTGAATTATCGTCCAAAGTACCGGGAGTACTATCATCAAGTATTCATGAATCTAATTCTAGGTCATCACTGTCACTAGTACTACCAGACTCAGCATCGGATTCCTCAAAGTCTGGATCACCAACAACGGATCAAACAAATTTAGATCTTTTCACTGAGAACAGCGGATCATACCCGCACAGATGCTGACTATATTCTGAATAAAGATTGTAGTGGACGTCGAAAGACGCCGTTTGCATCCCACATGTCGGAAGCGGCGGATGTCTCTCGATACTGTCCGCAGCAAATGTGTTAAATCCTACTTTCAATTTCAACTTTTTGAACATGAGATCTCATCCGTAGATGAATATTGGTTCATACTGAAGTTCAATGAACTTTGAATCCATGTTTTTTGAAATTCGGCAAGAGCCGAATCGATCCCTTTACGAAACCCTTCATCAGTTGGAAGGATTGATTGCAGCTTGAGAAATGGTTTTGATGCAGATTCTATGAAACATGTTCTTCCTTACGAATCAGTAGACAGTTGTACTGAAATCTTGTGAAGAAAATTGGATTAAATAATTTAGGAAACACCTGCTACACGAATAGCATTTTACAAGTGTTGTTAATGACGAAGAATTTTAACGATGAACGAGAACGAGAACGTTTCCTACTTATTCACCAAACTCAAACACCCGTTCATGCAGCTGCAGTTTCGGGAGAGTGTATCATCTTTCCCACCAACCGATTTCCTGGAGTCTTTGAAGTTCACCAGATACTCGTTAGGATAACAAGAGGAATGCTTCGAATTCTTGGGGTTCTTGTTGGCCACCGTGGTAGTGCGTCCGACTCACGGTCGGAAGGCTGTGGGTACGATTCCCGCCTCGACCAGATATTTTTCTCGAGGGAATTTATCTGGTTGAAGCTGGGATGATTCTGCAACCGTGTTGGGAATCACACGTTAAAAGGTAACACCCCGTTAGTTCTTAGCTCGCACAAGTTTCGCAACTTTTGAGAGTTGTCGTTCGTATGGGGGCGACCGCTGATTTACGGAAAACCAGATTTTAAACAGACTCTTCGGGAGCAAAATAGCAGAATCAATACTCATGACCGTTCTGGATTGAATTATTTCGTACAGTCTATCTCGCCTTGTGTTTGTAAATCTTTTGCTGGAAAAATCCTCACCTGTTCACTTTGTAGCAAATGTAATTTTCTGAAACTTCAACTTGCGTTTCCTAATATGACTGATAACCAGTCTGTGCAAAGCTTATTGTTGAATCATCTAAACATGGAACTTTCAACGGGTGATGCTCAACGGTATTGCCAAATATGCGTCAAACTAACTGACTATTATAAGACAACAAGTATAGCTGAGGCACCAGTTGATGATCTTCAAACATGACTCAACCTCTGACGGAAGCACCAAATTCTTACGAAGGTTCTAAATAGATGAACACTTCAATCTAGCAGACCACTATTATAATATCCATGCAGTCATTGTTCGCTGTGGTTCTGGCGTTGAATCTGGTCATTATTACACATTGGTCGAAGACGAAACGAGTACCCTACATTTTGTTCTATGGAAGAGAGGACATTGGCAGATCAAGATCTTCAGATGATGTGGTGCTGCAGGTTTTTCCGGGTTTTCCTGTAGCTCAAAAAGCAATTGCGCCACCCCAATCAATGAAATCGCCCCGAAGTGCCAATTAATTTTTGTTATTATTCCATAATTTCATGATTTGTATTAATTTCTTCTTCTGTGAATATATTTCTTCTATTATCTATACGTATTCTACCTATAAACATCAAATTCTAGACCCTATTTGCTTCTAACCACAAAAACATAAAAAAATGGCCACACTTCATTGTTGAGAGTTGAAACAAAGTCCGCTACCTTTGAATTCTTGGTATCAAAAATCGCAAATACATCGACTAGATATTGGATTTATGTTCATGGAAAGTAATCTAGTTTTTTTGCTTCCAATTCGAATCTGCTCATGAACAGATTAGCTATGGAAGAGAAGACTGGGTTTCCCATCGCAGTGCCTTCAAGCTTGCTGAATAATTGAGGCGTGGATAATTATTAATATATTCATTCAATAACATATTTATTCAATAACAAAAAATGTTACAAGTTTCACAACTTATTTTACTTGTAGCGTTCATCAATCTTCTTTTACACTTGCAGGTGATACATCATCTCTGTCAATATCATAAGACCAAAGAACAATCTTATGCTATTCAGTCACAAATATACAATACACAGAATTAATACTCATCTGATGATACTAGGTGACAGCACCACTGGCGTAACAAATATTAAATAAATATAAATGCACTCATATTCTTAACAATGCTGTCCTAAGAAACAGTTGTTGAAGAAAGTGTTTTGATATATTATTGATAGCCCACACCATTGTCTACAACACAGAATTGCAGGTCTAAACTTTTTAGTTCATATGCTTCTTACTTTTCCCATGATTAAAGAAAGGTGTTAGGTTGTTTCAAAAGTTTTGTCTATTGTAATGTCATGTGTATTGTAGCTCCATATCTCAATAATTTTATATTCTACTGTGTCGTGGTGTATACTGATTGATGAAGAATTTGTTATATAAAATTAACTGAAAGAACAATTTGTTCAAGCCAGTCTCGACTCACCTACATTGTAGGTTAATGAACTGACACCTATCAGAAAACAACTATTTTCCTGGATAATATCACGAATAGCGTTGGATTATATACAACAGGTGCCATTGCAGAAATTTTCACAGAATCAATTTTCAAATATAGGAACGGACACACTTGCAGACCGGTTTCGGGCTATTTGGGCTCTCGTCAGTGCATGATAGTGGCCATCATCAACCTAAAGTTGATGATATTTCATAATTAAAAATTGAATTCCTTTCAGAGTATCATTCCTCTAACCAAGCTGAAGCGAACGATAAACAACAAACTCATCATCGCTCCATCTGGTAAACAAGATACTAACCAACCGCATATCCAAAATTCGTCCAATTTCTTGTATAAGGAAAGAAACCTTCACATATATTCTATGTTAACTGTATAACGTATGATTTCACTTCGATTCATATAGATCAGTTTAGTTTCTACCAAAAATAACAAAAAAGTCATTGAATTTTTGTGCTCAAGTCGAAAAGAAAAAAAATATATGAAAGGTTATTTGCATTTACAATTTTAGTCAGAAGCTGTAGGTGGATATTCTGTGATTCTAGATCATGAGAGTGCAACAGAATTGAATATTCGTGACATGAACAATTAAGGAAATATTTTTCAAAAAGGTCATTTTGCTGTTTGCGTATTGAAAAAATTATCAACGTTCTAGATCATATAAAACAATTTCTCAGTTTATCAAATTTCACAACTTATTTTCAACAAGTTCTTCACCAGTTGTGTTCAGGAGATAACGTTATAGTTATCATCAACAGAAAGTTGTCTAGTACCAATTATTCTCCTAGATCTTTTCAATGACTAATTTCCTATTTTTCTGATATTTATTAATGATAACTATGAAATTTGTTCATTCATTAAAATATGTATCAGAAGAAATGTATTACAAAAATTTTAAAGAATTGGAACAAATAATATACTGGTAAATAAATAATTTTGAGAAATTATATGAACATCATAACTATGTTTATTAGCGATATGAACAATTAATCATTCGAATATCAGTTCGAATTTTTAACATTTCGTTCCAGAATTTCGTACTTGCTCTCTTCCTCAACTTTTAAACTTGCTCCTTTTATTTTTCCCACAAAATCAGAGTTCTTCACGTCTATAATAACCTTCATATTTAGAATATACGTATGATTATTGCCATCACGAAAAATTTGAAGAAAGGTCTTTCTCGGAAAAAACAAATTCGATAAAATTGGACTCGAGCTGTTTCTCATTTCTTTCAAAAAATTCATTCTGCCCTTCATTTCATCACAAATAGAACTATTGCCGTAAGAACAATCAATGTTTCTTTTCAGCAAAGATATCATTAGATTTTTGTTTTGTACACCGGGTGGATTAATTGAACCTTTAGTTGTAGAAAATGGGTTTTTTCTTATATTCTCGTTTGAATTAGTCTGTGGGTTTTTTGAGGACCTACTTGGTGATTTACCAACTTTTGATGTATTCACAGATCTATTTGAGGATATCTGACTTTTCATCATTTGTATATGTACATCCTGATCTGAAGAAATGTTCAGCAACGGTGTTGGTTTCGTAGTACCAGTTCTTAAATCACCCATTTGTGAACCTTGCGAACCAGCTGAAGACCAACTGTGGAAAGAACTGCTATCTGTATTCTCATCAGTGTTTGTAGTGGGAGACTGTGTAGATAAAGGAGAGTATGATGTTGACCCTTCGGTTTTATCAAATTCCAATGTATATTCCATGTCATCACTTTCAACTTCATTTTCGCTCTTCTCAGCTGCCGACAAATTCAACGAGTCTTTCAAATTATCAAGAGAATCAAACACATCTAGTGATTGGTTATCTGATGCAGTTCCGTTAACTATCTTCTTAAAATTTGGAAATTCTGTCGAGAACAGTGGATTTGTGTTTCCTAGAACACTGTCGAAGTTTTCTGCTGATCCTAGATATTGATCTGGTAAAATTGTTGTGGGAGATTTGGAAAGTTTGTTTTTTTCATTTCTCGTATCTGAATCACAATCCCTGAAGTTTGTTGAGGTCATCGGACTGATACTAACTTCAATTTGTTTTCTATTCAATTTAGGCCATACTATAAAATGTTCGGAAAGGACAGGACCAGCTCCACAAAATAATCTTTTGTGTTCTTTTATGAAATATACCTCTGTTTCCTTGACAGTGGTGAAGTTGAAAATTCTTTCCTTCCTTATGTCATCCTCACCTTCAATTTTGTAGCAAGACGTGTTCTGATTCGTGTTTATTTTGTCTTCTGAATTCAGAAAAGAATCAAGTATTATCGAATATGCTTTCGAAGTATTGCGGATATTTGTTTTTTTATTTTCTGTTATAATGAATGACTCTGTCCAGCAAATGGAGATGTAGCCTTGCTCCGCTTTTTTTCGTCTATACGCCTCATAATCGTCGACATTTTGGTAAGAACTAGAAAGGCCATTGTCGCTAGGCTTGAGTTTTTGGAAAAACTGTGACAGTCCAAACGAATCTTCTCCCTCCACTGGCACAGCTTTCGCTGAAGAAACAATCTGTGGAAAGAAGTAACGATTTAGAATATTCAGCAAAAACAATAATTCATTATATGTGCTGAAATTAACCGATACTTGATGAAAATCCATAAATTATTGAATTAACACTTGTTTTGTGAGATTTTCACTGAACAATTTGCGGTCTATTTCATTATTTAAATTGGCACTGAAATGCCAATAAAAATAGCAATGAATCATGAAATAAATTACCGGGCAGGCGGTCTACGATTTAATACAAAATGTGAATAACCAAAAAAGGTACGTAATAAAAATAACTGCGTAAACTCAAGCGAGACATAAGTGGAACCACCTATTGGTGCGACACCCAAGTTTTTATGTCAGCCCAATAGGCTGAAACAGCTGTCTACCGTTGGCTCTTAAATTGAAATCAATATGGGATTGATCAGAATGGTGCTTATCTATTTATTTTTTGATTTTCATGAAATTATTTTCCAGCAGCTTGACTGAATTAACTTTTCTCGATTTCATATCATTTCTAGAAACATGTGGATTCGTTTTCCGGCATTTCAGGAAAGCTTCCCAAATTTCTGCTACCGCAGTTGTCAGTTGATTGGTTGAACCAATAGACTGAAACAGCTGTCTACCGGTGGCTCTCAAATTGAAATCAATATGGGAATGATCAGAATAGTGCCATTCTCTCTATCTATCTATCTATCTATTTTTTTTATTTTCATGTAATAATTTTCCAGCAGCTTGACTGCCTTAACCATTCTCGATTATATTATATATATCCAGCAAACCAAATATATATCCTGCAATCAGTGATGGTCCGAATGAAATATGTTTGGGGTATCAAAGTGATCTTCAACTCCATCTAGTGGCTGAAAATGTCATTCAATTTGAGTTTCAATAAAAAACTTCCATTCTTGGTTTAGATTTTTTTCAATTTCTAGTTTCATTTCTTGTTAATAATATTTTATTTCTTTCAAGGATTCCAAATCAATTTATATTATATTAGACAATGGAAGTCCGAACTGATGAAATAAAGTAGCATAGCATTAACATAAGTATATGAATACATGGATAAAGATAAGTGACTGGCGATGATACAAAACTAAGCAAACTGTTATTGGTCATGAATCACTCAAAGAGGAAAAAATGATAGAAGAAGATCAAAGAAGATAAAAAAACGAAATGGTGAGAAGTTTTGTCATATTATTGATTTTAAAAAAGATATAATTTCAATTTGAACTTTAACTGAGATGATGGCAATTTTTTAAAAGTTCAGGAATAGCATTGAATACTTTAGCTATCTGGTAACTGAAAGAGCATTTGACTGGCTGGGTTGTTATTGTGAAGATTGGTTCGAAATGTCTCTTTCCTTTGTAGGTTCGAAAAGATTTTATAGAAAATAATATCATGATAGAAGCAGGCACCATGTGATGTTCTCCTATTCTCCATATTCAGCCATCCAACTTCCTTGAACTTGTGAGATATTCTGTTTCTTCTCTTAATTCCATATATAAGTCTGACTTTCTGAATTTTTTGTCTATAGTGACTTGCCATAAAGAGTATCTGCAAAATTCAATTGTGCTAGTACTAAGCTCTCACACAATATTTTTTTCATTTCTATTGATAGGCAGGGCCCATTACCATATATCAGTTCGAGAAAGGCATAGGCTCGTTGAATGAGTTTGTTGGTGTGTTTTTCAAACCTCATATGAAAATGAAATATCACGCCAAGGTTTCTGGCTTCATCAACAACTTGATGTGTATCTCCATTTATGTGAATTTCAACTGAATTGATGATTTTACTCCTATTGATTTTTGATCCGAAAATGATAACTTGTTCCCGAATATCAAAGGTAAACGATGTACGAGCGCCGAAGAAGCAGTTGAAGCGTTCAAAAACCATGTTTTGGAGGTGTCTCAAGAGGAATGTAAAAACTGCTGTGACTAAATGGTTTGAACGAATACAAAAGTATGTTGATCATCAAGAGAAATATTCTTGAAAATTATTTGCTATTTTCTAAATATAAATATGTAGTACCCCTCGTACACACAGGCAGACCTAGACCAATAAAAGAGCATACCAGATCACCTGACATGCCGCTGGAACATTCAATAGAATGAACTGAAGTGAGTTTTGAACACAGTTTTCATTGAAATTATATTCCTCTGAATTACTGGATGTACAGACCAGAATGAAATGTAATGAAATAATCAACTTGGGTAATACTAGTACTACTCCGGATTCGAAAGAGCAAGGTAATGGTAGTGTTATTGAAAATAGCGTTAGTGGCACAAGTAAAGAAAATCAGTGGCATACAGTAAAATATAAGCGTGATAAACATAGAAGAGTAATTGTTGGTAACAATAAAGATTCAAACATAAAAGGTGTCCCTAAAAATGTGCACCTGCATGTTTCTAGGGTAGATCAAAAAATTTCTTCTAAAGAGCTCAAACTTTTATTGATTTCTACGTTTCCAGAAGTTGAAGTTGACGGACTCACTTCCAAATTTTCAAGTGTATCTTCATCCTTCAACGGGTGAATTCAATTCCTGCAGTGAATTAGCCTTCTCTCCTCAAATTGTTTTATTAAATGTTCAGAGTCTGAATTTCAATTCTATTTGTCAATTAGAAATTGAAATCAATGGTTTCGATCCGCTATATTTGTGCTTAACTGAAACTCATGCTAAAGTCGATTATATCCAAAGTAAGCATATAATGAATATAATTTGAGTAGTGCTTATTGCAGAAGCATCTACGAACAAGGTGGTGTAACTATATTTTCAAAAGAAGGTTTGAAGTGTAAGAGTCTAAAGTTAGATAAATATTGCATTGAAAAACACTTCGAGGTTTGTGGTGTCTCCTGGAAAGCAAATAACCGAAGTACAATCATTTTAACTTGTTATAGATCACCTTGTGGGGATCGTAATATTTTCAACGAACATATTTATCTTCTTTTGGAAGAGTTATACAAACCGAATGCAGATATTATTATAACTGGGGATTTTAATATTGACTCAACTGCAAATGCAAGGGATAGCAATAACTTCGGTGAACTCAAAGAATTTGTTCTTGTTTCAATTTACATCTAGTAGTTAAATGGCTGACTAGAGTTACCTCACATGGATGTACTATTATTGATCAGAATTTCACGAACGTGAATGATTCTGTCATTTGTGTCGTTGATAACGATATTTCTGACCACAAAACTGTGCTTTTTGAATTTTCCAAAAGAGGAACTTCCTGTACGAGAACATCACAAACAAGGCAAAGCTTTAATGAGCATGCAATTCAAAATTGTGTGGAAGTGATGCAGCGAGAATCGTCGAATGATGTTTATGAAGCTAATAACATGAATAATGCTTTTGAAGCGTTCCAGAAAAAAAAATCAGGGAATATCCAGATTAAACAAAATGAAATCGTGTATGATGATCCTGCGACTATTTCAAATCTATTCAATAATTTTTTCATCAACACGCCGCAGGAAATAGTGAATAATATTATCACCTTTTATTTCGGAAGAACTACTCTTCTCTATTGAGAAAAAAGCTCAAGAACAAACATTCTTCTGGTCATGATGGTGTTCCTTCTTTCCTCATAAGTAAATGTCTTATCACTATAATACAGCCTCTAACGTACTTGATCAATCTGTCATTTGTAATTGGGTCATTTCCGAAAGAATTAAAAATTGGGAAGTTAGTTCCAATACATAAAAAGCAGGACCAAGAAAAACTGGAAATTTATAGACCAGTAAAAATAACTTCTAGTTCTTCAAAAATATTCGAATATTCCTACTTGGATAGGCTCATTAACTTTTTGAGTAAGAATACAATTCTTACTGACCAGCAACATGGTTTTCGATAAGATACATCTACGAATACAGCAGTGATTAATTTTGTCGAGCGTTTGATATATTATATAGAAGCAGAAGAATGTCCTGTAGGCATTTTTTGCGACCTAAGCAGGGCCTTTGATTGTGTTGACCAAATAAATCTCTTATCGAAATTCTATTCTTATGGTATAAGATGAGTAGCATATGATTGGATTCAATCGTTTTTAGAAAGCAGAAAACAATATGTGAGTATAACACATAACAATGAAAATACAACCCTTATACATCACTCCGATTATGCGGAGATTTTCATGGGTGTGCCACAGGGATCGGTATTAGGTCCGGTACTGTTTTTGCTGTACATAAATGAAATGGACACAATCATGAGAGATACTTTTGTGACGATGTATGCGGACGGATACTTCACTGATCGTGTGCGACGAGTCAGAAGAAGTTTTAGCTGACAAATGTAAAAATGTGGTACAGAAAATTACCAATTGGTGTGGAATGAATTCTTTATTTCTCAACGTCGATAAAACGCAATTGATAAGATTCCATAATGGCCAAAAACAATGCCCTGATATGCGAATCAGAACAGGCAACCTAATACTCGAAAATTCAGAAGAAACAAAATTTTTAGGTGTCACTACCGATTCGTGCCTGAATTGGAGGAAACACTGTGAACTCCTAAATGGTAAATTAAATTCCTTGTGTTATCTATTCAGAAATATAAGGAATTTCTTGACGAAACAATAACTACTTTCTTTATATCACTCACAGGTTACATATAGGCTGAGATATGGCATATGCATGTGGGGTAACTCTACATTGGCATCTGAAGTATTCATAGTACAGAAACGAATTTTGCGAATAATTGCTGGAGTTAACAGTACTTTTTCTTGTAGGAGTTTATTCAGGCAGTTCAGGGTTATGACTCTTGCAAGTCTTCATAGTTTTGAATTAACTTTATATACTTTTAATAAATAAAGATAAGTTCTTACGGAACTCAAATGTCCATAATGTGAATACGAGGCAAAAATCAAATTTTCATATTTGGGGAAAATAATTTTTAATAAGCTGCCAAAATACATAAAGGAGGCACGCACCGTTGATGAATTCAGTAGAGAGCTGAAAAGTTTTTTTATTCAAGAATGTTTTTATAATTTGGACGAGTTTTTTTTTTAATTTATGACGATTGATACTTTTTTACTTACGATCTGTTGTTACTTATGATCTTGTTTAAGTATCCTTATTTTATTAATAATTAATGTGCATTAATTTATATACACATATATGTACATTTATAGTGCGTGTGCTCATGATTTTATGTGTGAAATTTGACGATTCCTATACATGAAGTAAGTAATTTATATACACATATATGTACATTTATAGTGCGTGTGCTCATGATTTTATGTGTGAAATTTGACGATTCCTATACATGTATATGTCTAATGGAAAATGAAGAATATTATTATTATCTTTTGTTCGCAGGACCATAAAACAATTATTTAACTGTTTATTACTCAAAGAGACTTATTCAATTTCAAAAAAATATTAAAAATGTTAGATACAGAATTGAAATACCTATCAAACGAGTTATCAAAATATCCCTTTTCCATTGGAAAAAGTTATACTATTGTGTCTCTTATCAAAGAGAACTAAAAATGATATAATTTTTAAGTGAATTTTGTCCGATCTTCATAGATTGAGAAGAACTGGTTTCCTGGAATGTAATGACTCCATATTTAATTCACTTAAAAAAGAGAAAGCTAAATGAAGAAAATATCCCAAGTTCAATAACAAATTGTTCATTTTTGAATTGATCATTTCTGGCATTCTCTGAAAAAAGTTTCAAACCATCCAAAAGGGAGTTGTCATGCTTGAAGGTTTATGGCATTCTCAAATTTGATGATCTGATTTTCGAAAATCATCTCGTTAATACTAATTAGTCAACAAAAAAATGTTTGCACCCATGGTAATACATTCATTGTTCATAATTTTAGTACAAGTTTTGTTCGGTATGATTTACCCAATAACTGTTATCTCGAATATTACTGGGCTACCTTTCCATACATAGTTATATCCAATAGAGGAATGGTTTCACACCCCAAAATCACTTTTACTGTGATATGTTTCGATATTCTATCTAACAAGAAAAGCAATTCAGAACTAACATCTTTAAAACCCCACATCACACATACAATTTGGAAAAAAATATCATAATCGTTTGATTATTCATTATTTTGAATAAACTTCCATAACGAGAATCTCGGAACACAAAAGAAGTTTTGAACTGAAGAAAACTAATTATAGGTTGAATTATGTCATCTGTTGGAAAACAATCACGGCTCCGACATAAACTACAGTGTATTACATACACATAATATCGAACCTGCTGGAATTATTGAACAATCAATAAAATTTCCTATTGAATGACCAACAGGAAGTTAATCTCTCAACACTGTCAGTTTAATTCTCATGAAAAATTTTCTACAATTAGTCGAATCATTAATAACATTGATTTGCCTACTTTGTACCTGCTGTTCTTAAAATCACCTGTTTACCAATTAGTATCTATTAATTGAGGTCAATAATTTGTGAGAATTGCACTGTAAAGTAGTTTATATTACCAGTTCAACTGAAAAGCTCTTGTGGTAGTGCTACGCGTATTGGAAATGAAATCCATATTTCGAAAATTTGTTATTATTATCATTAATATCAGTTTCCGTCAATATGGTAAAAATAATGTAAAGCTTGTACATATTATACAGATTTCAATTAAATTTCTAATTATCATTTTTGAGTGAGAACTGGTCAAAAGTTCAAACTAAAGCGTGATTGCTTTCGAAAACAAAAAGTGTTGCTGAGCAATATATTACCTTATCAGGTACCGTAATGTTCGATTTACCGGCTACAAATGAGTGAAGGGCGAGTTGATTTACTGGACAGAATTAATTAATCCACGTTAACAGCATGTAGATATGACTACAGATTATATTGCTATTGAATTAAAAAAAGTAACTTTCTTGAAAAAAATTATTCAACAAGTTCGTAAATATTTACTCACCATTAGAATTTTTAGCGTCAACCACAGTTTTTGTGCCATCACTCTCGACAAAACAAATCTTCTTTCAAACATTACCAATTTTTTTTAATACACTTATATTTATATGTTACTGTTGAATAAACAAAATCTCGTTAACACGTTTCTCGTGATGTACATCAATAATAAACAAAACAACTTCTTCTTTATTATGATTATTGATTCGTGATTTTGTTAGCTTATAGGGTAGTAAATACGAACCATAAAGGCCACTGGCACCAGGAATAGTTGAAATGTGACAGCGTTCCAGCAGGACGATTTTGTGCGAAAGTGTAACGCAATAAGATATTATAATCATTTTCCCAAGAAATTCCGACATACAATTAACATGTCCATATCAGACTTGAATGTCCAAAGAAACAAAATGTATATTTTTGTTTATATACCGTGTGACCTGATGATACGTATTTGGTTGATATACCGATAATGTTTTAAGTTATATGACACCAGGAATTCCAGATTTTAAAATTTGTTCGAAAAAAGTGAGGTACGGCAGAGCCGTACTCTTACCATCTGACCTGGGTTTATTTGGCCGAGTATGAATAGTGAGTCACAATATTGCGGTGGAGGGTTTTCGACGGACACGTGTTTCTGGCTATTGGCCTCATCATCAGCGCGGTGCAGCCAAGTGTCCGCGGTTTGCCCCCCTTTTTTGGAGTGTTATGTCCATGAATTGTTTCATTTTTGATTTTCTTTTAACGTGTGATTCCTAACACGGGTTGGACGATAGGAAGTAAAAATCGATCGTTCAGCCTGGGGCTTGAACCAGTGATCAACACGGCTGTCGATTTGAGTGAGTGAACAAAGCTCCCACGTCGAACCGCCCGGCTACCGGCCGACAGCATAAATAATCGAAAACAAATTGCATTCATAGCAAGTAAAATTAATTGAAGTCGATCTAAGAAAAGGGGGATGAAATGGAGTGAATTTTAGGTAGAAAGTAGTTTTTTATCACTTGCAATGGAAATGGATCTCCTACTGAGATCATTTAACAAATAATGTGGGAAACTTCCAAAGAAAGGAAGATGGAAAATAACTACAATGAAAACTCTCATGAAGATTCATAGATCATGCACAGAAAATTCTAGAGGAAAAAACCATTTCAAAACTACTTTTTTCACAAAGACAAAACATATTACGGTTTAACAAAGCACGTTAATCTTTAATATGCCGAATTGATAGGATACTGTTACCCCGATGAGACGACACTGTTTTTGTTCTTTAGTGGTCGGCAAAAAACCTTAGTCGGCAAATAAGTAAACATAAACAATTTTATTTCATGTGTGGTCCAGTTAAGGGTTACTGATATTGAAGTAAATGAGTATCAACAAGTAATTAAACAGATCTGAAATATACCTTCATTACACAGACACAATTATAACAATAATTATGGTCACGTACGTGTCGTACACGGAAAAAAATCACGGAAACGAAGCGGTCGGTGAAGTTCTGTTATGATGTTCCTAATAGAGGTTATGTCTATCAGGTATGCTCAGTGACAGTGTGAACAGAATACAGTGAATTAAAAATTATTGAGTGTGAAAAACAGAAAAGCAATATCGTGTCCTAAAATAACTTGTGAATTACTGTTTCAATAAAAAATAAATGAAGTATATAATTCAATCCAAACCTATAGGACTCTAGAGCGGATAGAAATAACCATTTATTTTATAACCACATTTTCGTCACACAGAAAAGGTAGGTGAGTCCCTATATTTTCAAATGTTGAACGACCATTACATTTTACTCACACATGAGAATCAGTGTTGTTCTTGGGCGAAAAAAAAAATTGGTTACAAATTATATCAATAAAAGTGACATTTTGATAAAAAACTATTACTATTTAATGAGTCGCACACAAAGAGCAGCATTTCGCAACGAGAGGTTGGCAAGACTAACTGATTTATCTTCAAAAGTGATAGTTGACGTATCAAAATTGACAGTTAACAATGTAAACATGTTAAAATGCTCTTCAGTCAACGGTTTTGATTCGTTAACTTTGATTCGTGGAAAAAATATTTCCAATTATTTCGACTAAAAATAGCAGGGAAAAAAGCCAGTTGGTCCTTGAGTTTGGATGCACTGTTTGGAACTTTTGGTGTGGTATCTATTCAAATGATTATTTGATTTGATCTCAGACATAGAAATCTGTCACTTAGTATCTGAAAGTGACTTTAATGCATGAACACATTTTTTTGAAAAGTTAATTTTGAAACGAATTACTTTCTTCCTTCCTTTGGAAGTTTCCCACATTTTTTGTATAGAAATGGAGAAGTAGAAAGCCACAACCTTTTTTCCCAAAAACTAGTGTTTCCTAATAATGTACCTCTCTTCAATATCTTTTGTGATCTTTTACATATGTTTACATACTAGATCCTTAATTCTACTTTCATGAAAAATACTTCAACCTTTATTTCAATACTTATTTCGTTTTGTGCACATATTCGTTTTGAATGTTTTTTTTTTCACTGGAATTTTGTCAAGCCAATTTTCAGTTCATATTCCCCATCTATTACTGATATTCCAAGTGTTGTTTTTTTTTCAGATTCAAATCGAAATCCTTCACTTTTTGGAAATTTGTAAGTAGCATAATTCTAGACTTACTTTAGGTCACATTTATAAGTACCTTATTGAAAAGTACTTCGATTCTCGTTTGAATGGAGTATTTGAGGCTACATCAAGAACAGTTAGTCCAGGCAGCTTGTGTTTTTTTGGGGAAAGTTTTGCAAAAGTTTTGAAAATTGCTTCCAAATAGTATTTTGGGCTGCTGAACACGAATCTGAGGTTTGTCAACATAATTTTTTACGGGAAATATGTTTTTTTGCAAAAATTGTGAAAAAATTCGACTTAGTTTTGGTTTTACACCAAATGAACTAAACAGAATGAGAAGAGTTGAGTAGCAAAATTAGATTACAAGGTAATATGTAATCCGCCATTTTGTGGCTGCGTCCATCTTTAATTTGCATCTTTTCCAAAGTGTACTACAATTCTACTAGTTGTGAAACAATATGTAAACAGCCATTTTGTAGCTGCGGTCATCTTGAATTTACAATGATACAGACTTTATTGTATGTATGTACCAAATGATAGATCAATCTGTCAACAGAAAGGGATCAACTTCAACTACAAAATTTGTCTCAAACGAACATACAGAGCAAGCTGAATAAAACCGTTCAATGAAAACAGAATGAATTAGAATTCCTTTGTATTCCTTAATTCAACAGAAAATATTTAATTCTGTTATCTTACCATCTATGATGAGGTAACGAATCAAATAATGAGTCATATTTCTAATAATCAAAAAATTTCTGAGGGTTGTCATTCGTAGGGGGCGACAGCTGGTTTACGTTGAAACATATTTCTACAGATAAAGTAATGAAGTAACCTAAAATTATTGCAAATTCAAAATTCACACAAATAAGTGTTTCGATTTGGTTATATCCTCAGTCAAAACAGTGAAACCCGCTGATTCAAAAATATAGATAGATTGATTCCCAAATACTTCACTGATGATATATTTGATTATATTTGAATTTAGTAGTAATTCTCATTGCTTTTGTTTTTTTTACGTTAAGTTTCATTTTATTGGTTTTCAGATATTTTTCTACTTTCTCTAGAACTTTACTCATTCTGCCAACAGTGTCTTCTAAATTTACTCCAGTACAAGCCAATAAGGTATCATCTGCAAAGAAGTTGATGAACTCACAGTCTGTAAATAATTGAATATCATTCAGATACGGAATGAATAATAGGGGACCATGCACACTACCTTGTGGTACTCCTGTATGATTTGTTATATATGATGAGAAATAATCGTTCACACGTACTCATTTGATAAATAATTACTTATCCATTCATAAACCATCCCATCAATGCCATATCTTCTATCAATCATTTCAAAGGCCCTTTTGAAATCTGTATGGCCTGTATGGGTGGCCTTATCAACCACCCATACAGGCCTTTATGGGTGGTAGATAAGGCAAAATTGTAAAACTAATTTAGGGTGGTATACCTGTATGGGTGGTACACCTGTAGGGTTTACCTGTAGGTTATATCTATATAGCAAAAATAGCGTTAGCTTCGCGATAGTTTCTAGTTTAATCTTCCTCTTGAAGATGATCACTTGGTGATCGAAACACGTGTCGGGGTGTTAAAAATAACGATTTGGTGTTGGATATTCAATAGGTAATATTGTTACCAAATATATATAGAAATTCCTGCACTGACATGGTTGATTTGAAAAAAAATTAATTTTATGATTTCATGTGATGTCATCTCAAACCACATGACGCCAAAATTTTGTTGACAGGCGATGAAAAATTCCAAGATTTGTCCACTGATGTTGCAGTAATCGATTTGAAAGTTACTACGGAATCTATCAGCTACCCAGTTTTCTTGAAGACTTCAGAGCTGTAGTCCCTACAGCACATTGGAACGTGGTTGTATAGTTTCTTGCTCTCATATATCAAAGAAAATTTTCTTATTGCTGATTTTGTGATTGGGAAGGGTATATTCCGACTTCCTCTCGTGTAGTAACGTCTGTCATTATTTGCTGCTGAGTTGGATTATTTTTTGTGGATTAGAAAAACACTTTCTAAAAGGAATAAACAAAGTACAGTAAGAATTTTCTGACTGATGAAAAGAGGTTTGCAGTGGTTTTGTGATTTTGCCCTACATATTCATCTGACAGCCCTTTTTTATAGAACTAATACTGAATTTGGTAGATGCTGACTACAAAAGTCCCAAAAGGCAATTCCATATCTCAAGTGCGACTCTGTCAAGGAAAAATACACAATTCTGGCTGATGATTGATTGAGTTTGTTAGAAACAACTCGAATTGCATGGCAACCAGATGCTATTTTTTTGTAACTATAGCGTGATTTTCTATAAGTGAGTCGTCAAAATTGGGTTTGAAGCAAACTATGTTTGTTTTATTTGGGTTGAAACACAAGGAGTTTGAATCGCATCACTGTTTAATCCTATAGAGATCCAGAGTTATGATGTATCTGAGATTATTTTCATTTGTCCCACGCCAAAGGATCGTGGTGTCATCCGCAAAAAGTGTAAACTTCCCTTTAACGTCAATTGTTACCAGATCATTCAGATAAAGCAGAAAAAGGGTAGAACCCGGAATCGAACCTTGTGGCACACCTGATGTATTATTCTCAATATGCGATGTATTTCCTTTGAGTTTTACTAACTGCTCCCTGCCTGCCAGTTATATGACAATCCTCTGAAGCCATAGCACTGAAGTTTAAATAATAGAGTTTCATGGTTCACGCAGTTGAATCACAAAATACTGCCTCAATAGATTCGCTATTATTTAAACCAATATATACATCTTTCAGAAAAGATTGCATCTCCTGTGTTTTTATGGCTTTGGAATCCATTTTGAGATTCGCATAGTATTTTATGATTACTCAAGAAGTTGAGCACTCTCTTTTTAACCGGTTTTTCAATTATTTTTGAGATTGTCGGAAGCAATAATATAGGCCGGAAGTGTGATGTATCATTCATTTCTCCACGTCTATGAAGCTAAATGACTATTGGTAGTTTCAGACGTAGGAAATCTTCCAGAATAAAATGATTTATTAATGGCCTCAACAAGAATATTTAAAGCGTATTCTAGAAGATTTTCTAAAATTTTAACTGATATTTCATCATAACCAGATGATGTTTTGTTCTTTATTTCATTTATAGTTTGCTTAAGTTTGTAGACGTCTATATCAAATAGGTGAAAGTTATCTGGAATATTCATATTTTTCATAAACTCAGTTGGATGGATTGTCGGTTGTAATTCTGATGTTATTTTTTGTGCTATCGTACAGTATAAATTGTTTAACACGTTAGGATCTATATCCGCATTAGTAGGCAATATATTACATTTTCCACTTAATTTATTTATTACAGCCCAGTTAGCTTTTGCTTAATTTTCAGCCATGTATATTTTGTTTTCAAAATATCGTTGTTTGGTAAGCTTTATTAGTTTTGTATAAATCGTTTTGTATGTATTGAAATAAGATATGAAAATTTCATCAGTTATGAATTTTTTTAATAGTATGTAGTGATCTCAAGTTTATTGCTGATTTTTCATACCTTGGATTATCCACGGCTTTTTTTTCTTTATTTTTGATTTTGATCTTTTTCATTGGAAAACATTTTTCGAATATATCTCACAGGTAGTTTTGAAACATGTTAACTGAATCATCAAAGTTCAAAACGTTTGCCCATGGTCTTATATTACATAGGTTTCCAAATGATTTTTGGAAACCTATATATTCGTCCGTATAAAACAAAGTCGCTTTGCGCTGTCTGTCCCTATGCATTTTAAAAACTACTCAACGGATATTGATTGATTTTCAATGAATTGAGTAATTCAAGAGGAAGGTTTATATACATATAAAATGCATAATATAATAGAGAAACATGAATAATTTTAAAGGTTTCTAATGTGCTGTCGTAAATAAACACATTTTTTGGCGCTACATTGCAAATGCTGGCTGAACCCTACGAGATACATCAAAATGATCCACTACAGTATTGTACACCTTGAATAGGTCTACAAAAAAGCCCGCGATGGTATATGTCCATTTCTCAGGGACAACTCACAATGACCATTTTTTATCATTTAGCGTTTTACGAATCCTTATCCAATTAAATAGTTTAAATACATTGTGCATTTGATATAGATCAATGAGGCCCTTCACAGCATGTGATTTAAATGAATATTTTCGAAGATATTATATATTTAAAATGCAGGGATATAGCGCTTGCGGCGGTACCGGACGGGGGGGCGGCGCGTACCTACAAATAGCGCGTCAAAGGCCGCGCTTCACCCTATACCAATTTATGTTTATCAGCTATCGCACTTGGTATCAGTATTGCACCCGTGGAGAGCCGGTACGGTTCGCTAGTAATATATAAAATCAAATTCCATTCTTTAGCATGAGTTCAGTTGCATATAATTGAAGTTCAGGGTTATCCAGCTAGAAGCATTCAGACCTTTTACCTGCCAAAGTAACGATGATCAATCTTCATAATAGCCCAAGACCTATGTTGATGTCATGCATCATGCACGAAACCTTCAGTTTCCCGAAAAATTAAGGAAGTCTTGAATTCACTAGCTTTCAAACCACTACCATTTTGATCTCGGTAAAACCAAAGAACATTAGGGAAGTAAATGAAAAATATGTCTCAATGGATGAAATTATGATTTATTGAATAAGAAAAACTTCCAAACGGCCAGAATTTCGAAACAAAACTGGTTCAATGTATTCCAATAGAAAAATATATTACTATCATTTGGTGAAGTTCACATGAATGAGTATAAGGATAAATATCTACAGTTTCGAATATCTCAAAAAATGAATGTATATGTATGAATGTAATGTATATATGATGTGAAATGATATAAAAAAGGTAATAAATTCGTCAATTCGATTCAACATTTGTTACGATATTCAAATTATATTTCTCAATATTCAGTCAAAAACTTATTACAATCAGTTCAAATCTATTCAGCGTCTATGATACAGTTTGGAACGAAGCACTCTCTACGACACCTTTTTTGGACCCGGTCGAAAAGCCTGAATAGTCCACATGTTTTCACAGTTTTCATCATTACTCCATCAGCCATTTTGCATTCGTAATACTCTTTGCAATTGTATTCCACTGGGAACTTTCCTGTCTCGGAACAAGTAAAAGAAGAGTTTCTCTCCATGCAAGTAGATGAGGCAATACATGTACCTGTTTCCACATCGAAAGAGTTATAAATTGGACATCTGAACTGCTGCAAGTCGAACTTCCCTTTGAGTGTACTCCACACACAAGAGAAGTATCTATTACAATCAGTGGGGTGAGCAAACGTGCCTTCTCTTGGACACGACAGTTGAGGCTCTCCTGGACATTGAACGGGGTCCGAAGTACATACTTCATTGTAACTATCGTAAAATTCCCCTTGAGGGCAATTTATGATGATATCAATTAGTGAGTGAACAGCCTGCACACAAACGTGGTATCGAGAACAATCCATTGGATCTGAGAACTTGCCCAACGTTGTGCACGTAAATACTTCCGGCATGAGTGACGTTATGACATCGGATGAAGCTGTCGTCAAGGGAGATCTAGTTGTTTCTGATGAAGATGCGGGATAGCACATAGTTGATTCGATACATCTCTTCAGTTTTTCATCGAATGCGAACCCATCCGAACAAACCATTTTATTCCTAATAAAATATTGCTTTTCTTCATTCCATATGCATATATAATACATACTGCAATTTTCAGGATCAGCGAAGGAACCTTCTGAGAAGCATATTAGTTCATTTTTGCCCTTGCAACTGATTGGATCTTGTGTGCAAATTTCTTGAGTACTATCGAAAAACATACCAGAAGGACATGACATCGCTAGAGGAGAGTTGCTAGGCATTGACGGAGAACAGACAAAGAAATTGCTGCAATTCTTTGGATCTGCAAATTTTCCGTAACGAACACAAATGAAATCAGGTTGGAGTGTGGATGACGTGACTGAAGTTGTTTCCAAATTATCCGAACTTACTGTCGTTTCAGAAGTAGTTTCAATTTCCTCTGTTGTCGAAGTTGCAACAGCACTGAAAGATGTGACCGTGGATTCTGTCGAACTGGCAGGTTCCTCAGTAAGGTCTGGAGTTTCGGGTTCTTCAGTGGATACAGTCGTCTCTGGTTCCTCAGGAGTGGACGTCGTTTCTGTTTCAACGGTCGTTTCAATCGAAGTTGAGGAAGTTTGCATGGTTGTAGACGTGGTTTCTATTTTCACTGTTGTCGAAGTTGTGACAGCTTTTGCAGATGTAACCGTCGATTCTGTCATACGGGCAGGTTCCTCAGTAACTTCTGAAGTTTTGGGTTCTTCATCGGATACAGTCGTCTCTAGTTCCTCAGGAGTGGACGTCGTTTCTGTTTCAACAGTCGTTTCAGTAGGCGTTGAGGAAGTTTCCATGGTTGTAGAAGTAGTTTCAATTTCCTCTGTTGTCGAAGTTGTAACAGCAGTGAAAGATGTAACCGTCGATTCTGTCGAACTGGCAGGTTCCTCAGTAACGCCTGGAGTTTCGGGTTCTTCAGTGGATACAGTCGTCTCTGGTTCCTCAGGAGTGGATGTCGTTTCTATTTCAACAGGCGTTTCAGTAGGCGTTGAGGAAGTTTGCATTGTTGTAGACGTAATTTCTATTTTGTCTGTTGTCGAAGTTGAAACAGCAGTGGAAGATGTAACCGTCGATTCTGTCGAACTGGCAGGTTCCTCAGTAACGTTTGGAGTTTCGGGTTCTTCAGTAGATACAGTAGACTCTGGTTCCTCAGGAGTGGACGTCGTTTCTGTTTCAACAGTCGTTTCAGCAGGCGTTGAGTAAGTTTGCATGGTTGTAGAAGTAGTTTCAGTTTCCTCTGTCGTCGAAGTTGTAACAGTACTGGATGATGTTTCCTTTGATTCTGTCGAACGGGCAGAATCCTCAGTAACCGCTGAGGTTACGGGTTCTTCAGTGGATATAGTCGTCTCTGGTTCCTCAGAAGTTGATGTCGTTTCTGTTTCAACAGTCGTTTCAGTAGGCGTTGAGGAAGTTTGCATGGTTGAAGACGTAGTTTGAATTTCTTCTGTTGTCGAAATTGTGACGGCACTGGAAGATGTTACCGGCGATTCTGTCGAACTGGCGTGTTCTTTAGTTACCTCTGTAGTTCCGGGTTCTCCAGTGGATACAGTCGTCTCTGATTCCTCAGGAGCTGACGTCGTTTCTGTTTCAACAGTCGTTTCAGTAGACGTTGAGGAAGTTCGCATGGTTGTAGAAGTAGTTTCAATTTCCTCTGTCGTTGAAGTTGTAACAGCAGTGGAAGATGTAATCGTCGATTCTGTCGAACCGACAGGTTTCCCAGTAACGCCTGGAGTTTCGGGTTCTTCAGTGGATACAGTCGTCTCTGGTTCCCCAGAAGTGGACGTCGTTTCTGTTTCAGCAGTCGTTTCAGTGGGCGTTGAGGAAGTTTGCATGGTTGTAGAAGTTTCAATTTCCCTTGATGTCGAAGATGTAACAGAACTGGAAGATGTAACCGTCGATTTTGTCGAACTGGCAAGTTCCTCAGTTATGCCAGGAGTTTCATTTTCTTTAGTGGATACAGTCGTCTCTGGTTCCTCAGGAGTGGATGTCGTTTCTGTTTCAGCAGTCGTTTCAGGCATTGAGGAAGTTTGCATGGTTGTAGAAGTTGTTTGAGTTTCCTCTGTTGTCGAAGTTGTAACAGTACTAGATGATGTTACCGTCGATTCTGTCGAACTGGCAGGTTCCTTGGTAACTTCAGGTGTTTCGGGTTCTTCAGTGGATACAGTAGTCTCTGGTTCCTCAGGAGTGGACGTCGTTTCTGTTTTAACAGTCGTTTCAGTAGGCGTTGTGGAAGTTTGCATGGTTTTAGAAGTAGTTTCAATTTCCTCTGTTGTCGAAGTTGTAACAGCAGTGGAAGATGTAACCGTCGATTCTGTCGAACTGGCAGGTTCCACAGTTACGCCTCGAGTTTCGAATTCTTCAGTGGATACAGTCGTCTCTGGTTCCTCAGAAGTGGACGTTGTTTCTGTTTCAACGAACGTTTCAGTCGGAGTTGAGGAAGTTTGCATGATTGTAGAAGATGTTTGAGTTTCCTCTGTTGTCGAAGTTGTAACATTACTGGATGTTGTTACCGTCGATTCTGTCGAACTGGCAGGTTCCTCAGTAACTTTTGGAGTTTCGGGTTCTTCAGTGGATACAGTCGTCTCTGGTTGCTCAGGAGTGGAAGTCGTTTCTGTTTCAACAGCAGTTTCAGTAGGCGTTGAGGAAGTTTGCATGGTTGTGGAAGAAGTTTCAATTTCCCCTGTCGTCGAAGTTGTAACAGCACTGGGAGATGTAACCGTCGATTCTGTCGAACTCGCAGGTTCCTCAGTAACTTCTGGAGTTTCGGGTTCTTCAGTGGATACAGACGTCTCTGGTTGCTCAGGAGTGGAAGTCGTTTCAGTAGGCGTTGAGGAAGTTTGCATAGTTGTTGACGTGGTTTCTATTTTCTCTGTTGTTGAAGTTGTCACATCACTTGTAGATGTAACCTTTAATCCAACGCCCTTCGTGGTATTAGCCAGGGGAGTAGTTGTTTTATGATAGGCGTCAGTCCATTAAACCTACTGTGTAGGTATATAGAGACTGGCTTGAACGTTTGAAGTTCCATTTGCTTTAGATTTGTTTACTACCAGTCTTCAAGCATAGCCCACTGACTAATAAGAATGTAAAATTCAAGTTGGTGATTATATAAAAATATTGAATATAAATATGTACCTACACATATGAAATGAAAATTTAATTGAATCCATGAACAACATGAGATAAAATTACAAAACAAAATTGATATAAACATTATTTTCTCGGTTTTAGATAGTGACATGCTGAAATATTAGAATAATAAGTTTTTATTATTCTGGCCATACTGGCCTGGAAGGCAATGAGGCATTGGAAGCTCTTGGCTCCTACCGAGCAACGTCTAAATTGGTAGTAAATTGCCAAAAACGACTCTCCTCCATAGGAAGACTCAACAGATTATCTCTGGTCTGGATTCCTGGTCATACTGGCCTGGAAAGCAATGAGGCTGCTGACTCCTTTGCAAAGGAGGGTGCTGCAAGCAGCTTCATCAGACCAGAACCTGTCATTGGCATCGTTTTAGGCTTTGCCAAACACCTGGATGGCAAGAAGATTACTGGAAATTCTGGCAGAATCTTCCAGGATTGGCTCACTCCAAGGCGTTTATTTATCCTTCGAAGCTTGATACCGAACAGTTGTTGGACAACAGTAGGGATTAACTACGATGTCTAACAGACCTTCTCACAGGCCACTGTCATTTGAATCATCATATGCAGAGAGTCGGACTGTGGGAAGACAGTGTGTATAGCCTCTGTTTGGAGAGTGATGAAACATCAGAGCACATACTTTGTGCCTGCCCCGCTGGGAACCGAATCATGTTTTTATAGTTCGGCAGAGCCGTATTCTTATCATCTAACCTGAAAGACCACTCACCATACAAACTAATCGGCTTCCTTAAGACGCTGGGTTTATTTGGTCGAGTGTGAGCCACAATAAACCGTTGCAGGTTGCAGTGGAGAGCGAATAGACACACTCACTTTAGACCTTACCTAAACTAACCCGTCAGTCTTTAAGTATTTGTTTTGTTTGGCCAATGTAAATTTCATCAAAATATCTGCAATAAATTTGACAGACTATATTCGATTTGAATTGAGTTGGTATTGGGAGTTATTAATTTACAATATGAATCTTAGAGAGTTTCCAAATGCGTGTTTGATATTTTCATGTTGTTGTTTTACAAAACAGTATAAATTACTCATATCGAATATAGTCTATCAAATTCCTTGCAAAGACTGTGAAGAAATGTATATTGGACAAACATAACAACTACTTAAAGATCGAATAAGTAGACATCAATGTGATTCTAGGAAGAATAAGAAAACGTGTGCCTTAGCAGAACATGTAATAGATAAAGATTATAAAATGGATTTTCAAAACGCTCGTGTTCTAGATGTCGAAACTAATTAGAGTCAACCACTTTTCTTAAAAATGGTACATATTTCTGATAGTAAAGAAAGAAATAGTAATGAACGTAAGAATATCAAAAATGTAAGTTATATTTTTTCATAAACAGTATTTTTCTAAAAAATATAGATCAAACCCTCATTGAATTTTAAATGTTAATCCATTGATTTCGAACTTGAAAATAAAACATAACAATATTCTAATATTTCATCAAGTCAATATGTCTTCATGAATATATGTTATACACATTTCCTTTCATGAGTACTTATTATGTATGACAGCTACATCTATATCAAAGTAACGAATATTGACAGTTAATCCATACCAATTTTCATTTTCCCCTGCGATGTTATGTCAGATGGGATGTCAAGATACGTGAAAATAAACCTTTGAACTTTATCACTCGATATTTCATCCCACACGTCCCCACATCGATTTGCCGTCAATCATTAATCGTGTAGCCCTCTGAAGCCCCCACTCCGGGCAAACTTCTATGGCATCCTATAATGAAAGCTCTCCATCGAATAAAGTTGAAAAAAGAACGGGAAATGGGAAATATCTCTGCGTGAGGCAGACCTGGAGGATTGTGTTGGACAATGAGATCGAGTATTTGATTCGCAGGATATCCGTGGAATGCTCACATTTGGTGTGACCTAAACTGAGGAGCGATATATACATGGTGACCATTGGGAGTAAAGTAAAAATAAAGATTTATAGAATTCATTGATTATATTGATGATTTTGAACGTTATGCATCAGAAGTGCTGAGAGATAATGACAGTAAAGACCCATCTGAGTGGCAAAAAACAGCACAGACAGATCTTATCACTGGAATTGTCGAGTAAAATGTCGGGATTATCTGTACCAATTCTCTGCGGATTTTGGATTTCTGAAATCAGGACTTCGGTCATCTTCTTTGCAGAGATTGGAGTATTTATATCCGATCGGTTGATGACCTTGGTTTATATTCCGACACTGAACGAGGTATTCATCGAATTGGAACTAGTTTGACAAAAAAAANCAATGATGTTAGTTACAGTCGATTCTGTGGAACGTTCTGGCGTCACCGTAGCTTCCGTATTTTTTTGTACCCCAGGAGAGGAGGTTGATTTGTAATCAAAATCAACCTCAGTTTGTGTTGATGCTGTTTGTCTGGGGGTAGTCGTCTCTTGTTTCGTGGATGTTTTTTCAGAAGTGAGCGTTATTGTTGTTAATTCTGATGTGAGGTTTTCTGGTGTTGTTAATTCTGTTGTTGTAGCTCCAGGTGTTTCAGTCGTCGTTTCAGTTATCATCGTATCAGATGTGCTATCAATTTTTACCGAAGTTGGAGTTGTCTCAAAAGTGGAAGTTTCTGTTAATGCTGTATAACTTGTAGGCTTTTCAGTTATATTTATTGAGATTGCATCCATGGTTGATTTTGATATTTCAGTTACCGGCGATTTCTCAGTGACTTCTCCAGTAACAGTATTTAATGTAGTTGTAGTCGCTTTTTTACTTGTACTTGTATCATAAACATTTGTGATAGGATTAATCGGGACCGTTTTTTCAGTTACCTCCGTAGTTTTTTGTTCAGTCGATATTGTTTCAGTATTGATGGTAGTGGGTGTGGTGGTTGTAAAGTCCGGTGATTTGGTAGTTTCAGTAGTCCTCAATTTTTCTGTCGATTTGTCAAAAGTACTCGTTTCAACTGAAGAAGTGGAAGGATCTGTTACTCTTGTCGACTTTGAAGTTGGAGTTGTCCGAACAGAGCTTGTGTTGTTTATAATCGTAACAGACGTTGTTGTAGGGATACTTCCAGATGTCCCTCCAGTTCGAGTGTAAGGTTTTGTTGTAATTTCATTATTTTCAGCTGTTGTAACAAAAGTGCTAGTAACAATTGGAGTAGTTAGTTTTGTAGACTCAGTTGTCCTACTAGTAGTTGTTGTAGAGTTACTAACAACAACTTGTGTTGTTTTTACTATTGGCTCTTCATCGAGTTCTGTGCATTCTAATTCTTCGTCTTCTGAACACCATAGTCCTTCTGGACAATATTGTGGTAACCCTATTATTTCCCATTTGTCACCGGCAAATACACACTGGTAAAATTGTCTAGTATTTATACAAACAAATCCTTTGTTGGTATAACAATATCTTTCATCATAGCTTTTGTGATCATCACTTTGTCCATCAACCTGAAATTATATATGGAAACGTGTTATTTTATTCTATCAGGTGAATAGTTCGATTATAGTGAAATCAGTTTTCAATCGAGTAATATGTTTTTGATATTTCTTTCTTTTCTAGATTTATTCACAGCCATTCAGTTCATGAGATCATGAATTAGTGCTTTAGAAAATTCAAGTTTGATATCTAGAAAACACTGTACCTCTTCTGCAACCTCAACATGAATAAATATTATCTTCACCTTGAGACTTTCAGTTGGAGAATGGACAGGAAGTAACGCAGGTGAATATGTAAGATGATTTCTAGGAATTATAGGTAATCCAACTTAAGCACAAATATGTGGTTGGTTTCTGTTGGTATCCCCCGCTTTTGATGTTATCGACATCGTATAGACATGATTGCACATCTCTCAGGGTGTAATCTAAAAAAGTAATAGTACATTACACCTTGTGAGATGTGCTCTCAGCAATCATGTCTGTAAAGAAGGTCGCAAAATGATTCAACCAAAATCTTGACAGTTGAATGAAAACAAACTGAAATATTATTTCTGAAAATTTGTTTTATCTCACATTCAGATACCTTATTAGAAGGTCTGATATTCAACCACCTCAGCGAAATAAATGAAACATAAATACAAGAAACATATCCAGCCATTGAAAAATTTTTACATCATTTGAACAAAGATGATTTTACTGCAACTTTGTGTATTGACTTGTCAAAAGCATTTGACAGTGTCAGCAATCAATAAATATGGAATCGAAGGCACATCTTGGGACTTAATCAAATCCTATTTTACTAAAAAGATCCAAACGTTCATATATAACATCATTACTGATACCTCTGTTGGGGTGAGAACCATCTATTCTGAAAATTAGAAATTTACAAAACTCTTTCAATGACTATGTTATGAATCTCATAGAATGGACTCCAGACGATACTTGCAAACTCTATCTTCGAACGTACGTAGGTGAAATACAACATCTTCATGGCTTCAATATTATGAAAGTTTCTGTAATTTCTAACAATAAAACCATGAGCTCTGAGAGATTCTGAAACTTTTTGTGAAATATGTCTACCAAATGTTAATTCATGATCGAATATTACCCCTAGGTCTTTGATCTCATTACATCTCAGCAGATCTGAATCCTGTATTACATACGGGAATGTATAAACCTATTTTTTTCTATAACTCACTACTTTACATTCCTCCACATTGAGTTTCAATTTATTATTGCTACACCAAGCAACAAGAAATTCTAATTGAGATTGAAGATTTACACAATCACCTACTTCCTTAATTATAGAAAATAATTTCAAGTCATCCGCGAAGCATAACCGCTCACTAGCTAAACTTTCACATAAGTCATTAATAAACAATAAAAACAAAAGAGGACCTAGGTTGGAGCCCTTAGGCACACCATAAGAAGCTATATACGTTCTAGATTCATAACCGTTATAGGACACGAATTGTTTTCTACATGTCAGATAGGATTGCATCAGCTGACGGGCAATATTCGAAAAACCGAAACTCATCAGCTTATTGAGCAAGATACCATGATCAATTTCATCAAATGCTTTAGAGAAATCCGTGTATATAACATCAACTTGGCAATTGTTATCTAATGCATCAGAAATAAATTGAGTAATAATGACTAGATTTGAACAGTAGAACGCTTAGTGAGAAATCTATGTTGATGTTGAGATAGTTGCCGTTGAACAGAAGCATATATGCGATTATATAAAATAATCTCAAAAATTTTAGAAAACATACATGAATTAGATATGGGTCTGTAATTCTCTATATATGATTTTTCACCACATTTGTATACAGAACATACTTTAGCTAACTTCCAAATATCTGGGAATGTTCCAGATATCAAACGAGAATTTTTAATTCATGTCTGAATTGAAAATTCTCGTTGAAGGTTTTGCTAATGATCCTGCACAATTCTTTAACAAAAATGATGGGATCATATCTGGGTATCAAATGAAAGGGCTCGACTAGTTGAATAGTAGTACATTTTGAAAAAGATGCATATTCAAGATGGCCGCAGCTACAGAATGCCGTATTACATTAGTTTCTCAGAATTACAAGATAATAATGAACAGAATGGAAAGAATGGAGTAACAAAATTAGAAACTAAAAACTTGAAAATGAAATTTTATTGAAAAAAAAATACTATAATGATTTAGATAATGTACTGAATACTAAAAAATAATTCGAAAGATCCTAGGTAGCAGTCATCACGCCACTCTCCTCAGCAATCTGATCAGATGAAAAAAATAATAAAATCGTTAGGCGTAGTACATATTTACTCAGATACATTATCTACATCATTATTATATTTTTTTCAATTCACTTTTAATTTAATTATACATTGTACAGTACATTCAATGCACTGTTTTTGTCGTGTTTGTTATGATCAAGTTAAACTTTCATTTTCGTGTCTGAAGAATGTATCGAGGAGAGATACATAGGTAGGGGAGACTGGGGCAAGATGAGATAGCTAAGACAAAACTCGTTATACAAGGAAAATTAAACTCTTTAATAACATTCTTTAACAAAAGAGGTAACCATTATACATTTCTCTCTCATAATTAAACGTTGTAGCATGCAAAATCACAGAACTTTTTTTGGCATGCATTCAGCGCAACAGCTCTTGACTCTCCATGTTTCTCGATTGCGTTATTCCAAATATGGGTGACATACGATAGAAGGTCGCCCCTTGATATCTGTTTCCTGTCATTTTGATGATCGCTCAAGATGTTGAAGCCTTCCAAATATTTGCGGATATGGTGGTTTACGGCTTTCTCCATGATTTTTGATACCACTGATACCAAAGCGACTGGTCTATAATTATTTGGAAGAGTTTTTTTGGGAATAGGCTGAACGCGAGCAATATTTCAACAAGAAGGAAAAACCCCTTTCTTGTAAGACAGGTTGAAAAGTCTGCAAAATACTGGTGCGAGTTCATTTGCGCACTTTTTAAGTACGCCTTGTTGATGTTGAGCTGTTTCAAAATTCGCCTGTCTAGACGCTGTCGAAAAGTGATTTCCGGCATTGTTGATTCTAGTGTGGGAATAATGGGTGGTGCCTTTCCCAGAAAATCGACTGTGTAGTGGGACCAAAATTGTTCAGCTAGTAGATTTGCTTACTCTATTGCTGTTGTTGCAATTGAACCATCCGCTAGTATTATTGGTGGAATCGTGGATTTTGTGAAGTTCTGATTAACAGCTTCAGCTACCGACCAGAAGGATCTAGACACGTTGGGATTGGTAAGCAGTTTAACCATAATTCTCCGATTGTGGAGTTATTTGCTTTCATTTATCCTAAGTTTGCAGCTGTTGAGAGCATTAACAAACCTAGTTCGCTTTTCGGCACTGGGATTTTTGCGCCATTGCCGGTTGGCGAGATTTTTGGAGGCGACAGCTTGCTCGCAATTTTTCTTGAACCAAGGTTTGCCGTTAGAAGGCGTTTCATTGGAAAAGGAATATATGCATCCATAGATGATAGAATAACTTCCGTGACTACAGAAGCACAAATTGATGGATCTTTAGAGCTGAAACAAACATGTAGCCAGGAAAAATTTCGGAAATGGTCTTGAAGATCCTCCCATTCAGCTGATCTGAAATGCCAAACTTTGCGCGGCTCAGATTGTTCCCTAACATTTTTTGGTAATTCACTCAACACTGAAATCAGTATGTGGTCAAAAGATCCCAATGCAGACTTTGCGGTGACTATGTAAATTTCTGGATTGGTTGGTAGGTATAGATCCAGGAGACTAGCATATTATCCATCACGGTCAGGAATTCTGGTGGGCTCATTTATAAGCTGAGTAAGTCCACTGCTTATTGCAAAAGCCTCAGCTTCGCGACCTTTTTCGTCGTAGATGTTTGAAAATTTGAGCCATTTGATATTGTTGGAGATTCAAGTCACCAAATATGGAAATTTTGGCACTGGGATGATTTATTTGCAGAAAGTCAATGATGTTTGCAAGTGTAGAGAACAGTTCCCTTTATTGTGTATCGCTAGTTGGTCGATAAACGCAGTATATGAAATTGGTAATATCCTGTGATTGAACCATATAACATCAAAGTTTCGGAGTTCCAGCATTTCTTGTCGATGACAGGAGAGATCGCTCCTGATAAAAAGAGATATTCCAAAGTTACGTCTTCATCGGGATTGAAAATCATAGCCGGAATAAAGAAAATTGACGAGGTTTGTTGAAGCACTGACTTTGGTTTCTGTGAGTTCAAGAATATGAGGACTATTTCATTGCAGATGTTGGTGCACAGAGTGCAACTGCAATTACCATGCATTTTCCCTGTGGTTTTCGAATAACTTCCGCAGAATGATGCCCTTGAATCAGCCTTCACTCGGAGATCCAATTGGGGAGCTATTTTACCTCCGGAGTATTTTGATCCTAGGATCCACTCTTGAAACCGTAAACAGCGTCACAACAACGAAACGTTAGCCCGAAAGCAAATTCACGTTGCTCAAGCCGTTGAGATGGTATCTCACCGGGTGAGATGAAATCGTACGTGCTGATGTGCTGTATTAGACAGCGCTGCACTTTTTTCGTATTTTATTATTTGATATGCTGGGACATGTTCCACAATTGCGGATTTCTTCGGTTTCATTAGGCGGGCAGCTACGCTTGTGTTTTTGTATCCTGGTATTGATGCTGCATATGATAGTTCTGATGTAAACTGAGCCACAAGACCAGGGAATGTTCTGAACATCGGCGGATGACAGAGGTTCTGATTTGTTCTTAGCCGATCTGATATTGTTGCATAGTTCATTATGTAATAGAGCATATGGTAATAATGTCACGTTCAAATAGTTTTCCAATGCAGTCATTATCTTTGTTTGTGTAAGGCAAATAGAATGTAACTACCACTGGATGCTAGATCGTGGTCAAAGTTGAAGTATTTCTTCTACCTGGTAGAATACGTTTGATTTCTTGCACTGTGGACTAGATAACGAAGTTCTTTTTCAAAAATTTGT